AAACGCAATCAAAAACGCAAAAACCCGCATCTAAAATAGTATAATAGAAGCCAAGTTCTTCTCGGTAAGCCTTAATCCTGTCTCTCTCCCCGCGGGGGAATATCAAAAAATTTCTTCTTAGTGTACATTCTGTTGACATACCCTATTAAAACGCAATTAAAAACGCAAAAACCCGCATCTAAAATAGTATAAATAGAAGCAGAGTTCTTTACTGTAAGCCTTAATCCTAACCATCTCCCTTCAGTGGGGTTGAATTTCGACATGTATATTATATAAAAACACGTGCGTATTCGAATGCAGCGTTGTGCCAAAATTTCAAATGAATCGGTAGGAACAAATGAACATTACATTTTTATTTATATAAATAGATAGAAGATGATCTGCTTTAGTTCATTTTCACAGAAAAGCAAACTTAGGGCGTCGTACTCGTAGCGCCATCTGTTGGACATAAAAGCCTTAACCTAGATTATATCTTTTAATTTATATGAATGTTTAACTGAATAATATATAGCCTATGTCCACCCTGAAGTTCCATTCTAAATATTGGTGAAAGAATTTTTGAAATCGGATGAGTAGTTTCGGAGATTACCTGCTGCATACAAACTTACTTACATACATACATACATACATACAAACATTACCTCTTTATAATATTAGTATAGGTTAAATGAGAAGTTGTTTTCAATAGTTTATAAATGTTTATATTGTTTTCATATATTATTTTTTATTTCTTTATGTAAAATAAAATTAAATAAAATATAGTGAAAAATTTTTTAAATAGTGCAGCCATTTTGTCTTAAAAGTTATAATTACTCACCTTTGATTTCATTCAAACAGGATAAATGAAAAAACCTCTTCAATGTGGCTGCATTTCATTTATTTTCGTAGGAATTGTCATCACTTTAGAGTTTTTGACAAAAAACTTAATTACTTTCCCAGCTATTATATATAGCTGAGGGAAGGTATTTCGATCGATGAAAAATGACCCTCCAAGATTTTTAATTCTTGTGCCAGGGCATTGAAACGTCGAAAAATTCAAAAAAAATTGTTTTTTTTTTATTTTTTATTTTTTAAATGAATGTTAGTGTGCATGGGAGCAGGATTTTGTTCACCCACTTTGAAACTTACTACTGTGCGTTTCATCGAAAATTTCTGAAATATCATAGGATGTGTTTATTGGGGATTGATACTATTAAATTTTGGTGTTAAAGGTCGAGGTGAAGAGATAGAGGGGATCACGTGTCGATTCTCGAGTGGAGTCGGACTTAATGAAGATTTTACTCATTATTAGCATTTACAATTTTTTCTTTTTTAAATAAAGCTTTTTTGATATTTTATAATAATTAATAATGTGAAAAGTTTTATGAATAAAATTATAACAATGGCACCACCACAATTTTTAACTCTTGCCGGGAAAATTAGCAATTTATTGCTGGATTTTTAACCTAATCTTCAATGCGATCGAAGTTTTCTAGATAAAGATAATTCGAACGCATCATGGAATTTGTATAGGATTTCGTAAAAAATATATTTATATAAAATATTATAGAATTAATATTTACTATATTTTAATCTCTGTAGATATCTTTTCATCTCCACGATATGAATCAAATTTGTTGCATTGGCAAAGGAATATTTAGAACCTACCGAATATTTGAAGATTCAATCAGATTGCATGTTCAAGGCAAACAAGAGCATCTAGGATCTTTCCTCTGTCAGTCTTGGTTAAAAACGAATAAATTAGCTATTGGTACGGAACAAGGACGTGTACTTATTTGTGACGGAACAATTATTAAGGATGAAATCATTATTAATCCCGATGATCCGGATTTAATAGATGAGCAAACGTAAGTACTTTTTTCGAAAATGAATATAAAAACCAATAAAATAAATGAACATTTTTTAAATATAGACTATAATAATATGCACGGTATCCACTTAAACATCTATCAGTGTAAGAGAGATCTTTCTGGCATTGCAAAAGCAAATGCATGTGCTGCAATCTTGTTCCAGCGCTAAAATAACCGAAAAGAATCAATTTAAGACGATTTAGCATAATATACAAATAACCTTTCAAAAGGAGAAAAACAGCATTAGCGTTATGGATGGCACATGCAGTGGCGTGCCGTGACATTTGATGATAGGGAAGCTGTGTTTCTGTAAGAAGCCGACATCCAGGGGCAATCGGTCAATTGCGCGTCAGCGATGGTCTAGGGCAGGGGTCGGCAACCTGCGGCTCTTTGGATGTGAAGCTGCGGCTCTTTAGTTCCATACGCAAATATTATTTATTTNTATAAAAATGTAATATTAATAATAAAATATTTAAAATTATTCATTTCGACAGTAATAAGATGTCGAAATAATTCCTTAAAAATCTATTCCGAAGACGAATTTCGAATTCGGTATAAATGTTCTAAATATGGATTTGTCCGTATTTTAAACCGTATTGGCGACGAAATTAAATATCGAAATGGACAAAGATTGTCATTAATTGCCGAACAATGCTTTTGACGGCCTTAAGATTTTATTTCTGGAAGCTTTCTGAACATAGCTGGCGACCATTTCTGACGTCACAAACAAATAACCCGATTGGCCGAACGACTCCTAAAACAAGGGAGTAATAGCGACGAAAGTAAGAGCCGATGTTTTGCCGGAGTTCGTTTAGAGGGCGTTCAGAAATAGACGATCGTCATCTTTGCAACGCATTTTAAACCGCGGTTCAGAGCCAACTTCTACAGGCCGTTCTGTTGATAAACGTCGTTTAACGTAAACTCTGTCTCTGCAATCGGCTGTAAAGGTTTTTAAGATTTAGTTTTAAACAAATTTTCAAACAATTTAATAAAAAAAAGTAATAATTTGGCCATTTACAAATTAGTATGAATGTTGTTATTAATTTTTAAGTGAATAATTGAAAAATGGATTCAAAAATTTTGACTTTTCATTGAAGCAGAAGCTTCTTCAATGAGGCTTACATCCGATTGCAGAGACAGAGTTTTCGTTAAATTAAACGACGTTTATCAACAGAACGGCAAAGACGACGATCGTCTATTTCTGAACGTCCTCTAAACGAACTTCGGCAAAACATTGGCTCTTACTGTCTTCGCCATTACTCCTCTGTTTTAGGAGTCGTTCGGCCAATCGGATTATTCGTTTGTGACGTCAGAAAAGGTCGCCAGCTATATTCCGAAAGCTTCCGGAAATAAAATCTTAAGGCCGTCAACAACCATTGTTCGGCAATTAATGACAATTCTTTTCCATTTCGATTTTTCCTTTTTCGGGTTTTTGCGTTTTTGATTGCGTTTTAATAGGGTACGTCAAGAGAATGTACACTAAGAAAAAATTTTTTTTTAAATTTTCCCCCACGGGGGAAGTGTTATACATTTATAATAGATACATTTTGAGCCACAACAAGGCGTGCCGGGGTCTGCTAGTTTGTTATAATTAAACATGCGAGTTTCATATTAACGTTTAGGCGCGCGGGGTTACAGTAAAATTGAACTTTTGTGATCATTATTCTACAGATTTTATATCGTTTAAAAAAATTCATGATAATGGTCCGCAGGATTCAAAATTGTGATTTTAGTGGTCCATGAGGTGAGAATGGTTACCGACCGCTGTACTAATACATGTTAATTTGACTTTTAGCACTTTTAAGCAAAACAGAAAACTAAATATGTATTTTTCTCCATATATTTTATTTTGAAATTTTTTTAAGTATGAAAATTAAATTTCTTGGAAAACTTGTAGAAGTAATGTTGTTTAGCATAAAAAATTATAAATAAAAATGTTTCGAGGCTAGAACCTATATTTTAAAGTTACGAACCACTGTGCGTCGTATCACCTTCTATGGTGGTCGCATCAGCTAACGTTCAGAACGCGTTATGGCTTTTCTTAACATTGATGCTGTTCTGATGATTTTAAAGTTTGAAGGATCTTAAACAGAGCTTGCATGTAACATCTGCACGAAATCCCTCATTCTCGTTGCTTTCTCCGCAGATAACGTGAACATATTCATGACACTCTGAACACTTGTGAGCTCCTGAGATTTCATTTTGATTTGTGGTCTTTTTGAGTTAGTCACAACACGTTGTGGCGTTTTTTTCGTTCAATGAGCGTTTTCGTTCTTTGAGCCTAACATATACATAACAGCTGGAAAAGTAAAATGGGGGTCCACGACTTCGTTTTTGAGATATAAGGTCGTAGCACGAGCGTGTGCGACAAAGCGATATGGCATGAATCGTGCGATGTTCCACTGTGCTAACACGTCTTCTATTGTCTTATAAAATTGAATTAGTTCTGAAAATTCAATGGACCCATATTGACAAAACTTTGCAATTTTCCATTAATTGCGATGAGGAATGAAAAATGTAATGAGATCCATATGAATGTAGAAAGTAGGAATACATTAGTTCGTTTTCAATATATAGCGGTATCAGACAATGTCTGTGCTTTCTGATGCAACTGAAGGCGCCTATGGAATTTAGGCCTAGGGGCCAAAAATAAAAACAGCCTAACTGAAAATACGCGCGAGAAACGAACAAAACACAAGAACAAAGCAATCGCTATCGATTGCTTTCCTAGATCGGTGCCTCGCAGTGTCGACAAGTGCAAAGATCGTGTCCCCCACGGCCGGCAGGTGCAAATATCACCTATTCTGTGCCTAACAAGTACAGGGATCACTTTTTTCTTTCCGACTTCGCCTCAATACTATCGTGATACAACGAAGTCGCGCGATGTCCTAGTATATTTGTATATGTTAGTAACAAACTTATGAAATAACTAGCAGACCCGCCACGCGTTGTTGTGGCTCAAAATGTATCTATTATAAATTTATAACACTTCCCCCGTGGGGGGGAATTTTCGAAAAATTTCTTCTTAGTGTACATTCTCTTGACGTACCCTATTAAAACGCAATCAAAAACGCAAATACCCGCATCTAAAATAGTATAATAGAAGCCAAGTTCTTCTCGGTAAGCCTTAATCCTGTCTCTCTCCCCGCGGGGGAATATCAAAAAATTTCTTCTTAGTGTACATTCTGTTGACATACCCTATTAAAACGCAATTAAAAACGCAAAAACCCGCATCTAAAATAGTATAAATAGAAGCAGAGTTCTTTACTGTAAGCCTTAATCCTAACCATCTCCCTTCAGTGGGGTTGAATTTCGACATGTATATTATATAAAAACACGTGCGTATTCGAATGCAGCGTTGTGCCAAAATTTCAAATGAATCGGTAGGAACAAATGAACATTACATTTTTATTTATATAAATAGATAGAAGATGATCTGCTTTAGTTCATTTTCACAGAAAAGCATAATGCCTCACAGAAAAGCAAACTTAGGGCGTCATACTCGTAGCG